TATGGCAAATCCAGGGGCTGATACGTTTGACATAATGGACACTTGGTATAACAGACATTTTACATCATAGCTATGTTTCGACATATTTTTGAAACCAAGGTTTACAATCTATGATTATTCTTTCTTTTAATTACTGCTCGTGCTTTCATAATGGAGCAGTTCCACACAGATTCGCAAATCGTTTCGGATCGACCTTCTACGATTATGATGAAACTTTGCACAGTTGTTTGTTATTGCCCAACATGCCAGTTTACATATATGGTTCCCTAGTTTTGCACACGACTAACACTTGAAAAGGGCTTATGCAAAAATGATACGCATCAATAGAAAAATATATATCTCGTGAACGATTTGTTTGATCGAGATGGTGTCTTGGGCGAGGTTGCGGACAAGTATTGTACCTTCCAAGAAAAAATATACATTGTAATTTTTTTTTTACCAAAAAAATTCAACATTATCAAAAAAAAAATTAAATTACTCAAATTGCATTTCTTTTAATTTTTTTTTTTATATTTACTTTGTAGTTTAGACTGACTGACTGACTGACACTGTGCATTTGCTGGGCAAATCATAAACAAAAAAGTTATGAATTATTGAAAAAATAAGTATTTTCCAAAATACCACCTACAGTTATTGAATATCTTTAAAATAGTGTTAATATTAAAACACATTAAATTTACAACAAAAAAGCTCATAATGCTTAAATTGCCCAAAGTTGTTATTTTCGAGATACTCGTTGGTTAAAATTCACTTATCGCAATTTTCGCTCTTTTGAGATGTTATTCGTTAGTGTTCAATCTTGAAAGTATTTTTAAGCAGGGTGCCTTCCATTCATTTTGACTAAAAAAATGTTTTATGAAATTATGGAAAAATAAGATATTACAATGATATTTTGTATGTGTATGTAACAAGAAAAGATTTTAAAGTTTGTGTTTGACACATAAAACCTGAAAATTTAGCTTTGACAGAGTCAAATGAGCGATTTTCTGATCGCCTTTTCGCGAAGAGTGGGTGAGATAAATGACAAAATCGCTTATTGCGACTCTCATGTAGCAAAATTGGCTGGTATTATGTGTCAAACACAAACTTCACAATATTTTCTTGATGTTTACAGAAACAAAATATTATCATAATATCTTATTGTTTCATAATGTCATAAAACATTTTTTTAGCCAAAATAAATGGAAGACACCCTGCGCCAATAAGCTCGGGTTCGCACGAACTGGTTCCAAACCTGGATAATAAGCAAATTCGCTATAAGATGCACATTTTTTTTTTATTTGCTGTTGTGAGATGCGTGCACGTTGAGTAGATAGATAGGAGATTGATGAAGATGTAGAATATTTCCTGCAAAAAAGGTGGAATGTGATGCGCATGGATGGATTTAGATGCAAGAGATGAAAAAAGATTTCCGTAGATTGATTCGCTAGCGTGAGATTTTTCGACCATCTAAAATAGAGGTTTAGATGTGTCGCACCCCCCGATTTCGACAAAAAAACGCAAATGGGACCGACTTGTTCCGATGAGCGGCAGCAGGGGGAGGAGGGGCATAGTGAACAGGTGGGGCATAGTGAGGATACCGCAGTTTAGCCCTGGATCTCTAGCTGCATGAAACAAATCAACTGGTAGTAGGTTCAATATCATTATGATATTGATCCTACCACCAACCAATTTGTTTCGAACGGCCGGAAGTCCAAGCTGGTGCACGGGATGCTCAGTATGCCCCACCTGTTCACTATGCCCCTCTTACCCCTATATATGTATTACCTTAAAACCTCAAGACGATTTCTTGAATCTAAATGTATGTACAAAATAATTTCCACAACACCTATTAGAAAATTCAATTCGACAGGCTTTAGAATTTTTTTCAAAATGCGCTGAATATTGGCCACATAAATATAACTACCCACCAACATTACGTTGGCTTGCCCGGCGCATTGTTCAGTCATGCATTCTGTTTCCATTCCACTTTTATTTAATATTCCACAATTCAAAAGATTATGACCGGCTAAGGATTCTAAGAAACAACTGAGTCAACCACCGCCAAGTGAATTGAACTTAGTGTTAAAAAAAATCCCTGATAATTCAAGGATATTCTTTCAGGTGCTTCGGAATTGTATCAGGCTGTAAGATCATTTATTTCCCTGCTCCAAAATCACAGCAACAGGTCAAACATCAACTCAAATGTGGAACCCACTTCAAAGCACTGTCAAGGTCAGCCATGCCATGGTAGCCCAGTTGTATATTATGTACATATCTTGTATTCATGAATGTGAAAGGAATCCTAACTTACGCACGTTGTATGTTAATAGAAGGTTAGTAATGCCGTTGACGCCTTCCACATCCTTCAATTATTTGATTTATTTATTGAAGTCAATGAACGACATGACAAATAGCCAGCCACCCACAAATAAAAAAAACTAAGCTTCGATTCATCAGTGTGGTAGTCAAATTTAAAAGGATTACCACATTGTCTTGTTGCTAAGCGTGAAAAATTGCTGTCTCATTCCCTAAAAGCTATAATCATGTACTAATAGTATGCTTTACTTCAAGCAACAGACATGCGTTCAGCAATGCCAGCGTTTGTCCAATTTATCGTTTCCATTATTAGAAATGCTTTGAGATCTGATATAGTCTGTAAAGCAACACTATGTATGTAATAGGAAATAAAGGGACCATCGTTCGTATAGTAGCTCAGATAATAACATTCTTTTAACGTGCTTTGATATTACTAAACTTGTTAGATTAACATTGAATACTTGGGAAATGTAACATTCGGAGTTATGCGGTGAAATCAAGTCTGAACTCTCATAATTTGAATAAAATTGATTATTTATTTACTTCTATTGGGTGGATGCATCAAACCTTGCTTTATTTACTTCCACCATCATATCAAGAGCAAATTTTCATTACGTCGAATGTAACAAAAGTAAACAAAGTCGAGCTATCAGTGTCAATCGATTCTTCTGCTATTACACTATATACTGTCTGAATATGGGATCAAATCCCATTTTTAAATTTATTTACCAGTCAAATTGCTTTTTGACGTAATCACCTTCCGATCAAAATCGTTTTCGATGTTACTTAAGTCACCCAATTTCTATGGAGATGCCGTTTGACTTAAGTAACAGCGCTGAAAAACCCGTGAAAAGTGTACGTTCGTCGTTTCGCTTTTTCATTATTAAAGTGAATAAATCGAACTGTTTGTTGCTAAGATGATTTCGGTGCTCCTAAAATGATGAATGGGCTGCACGTAAGGAGACGTAATTGATAATTCTCCCGAATATCCTGATAAATACACTTTGACTTAAGTAACAATAGGGGCCACCAAACGACGTATAATAACTTTTGACTCAAAAACCAGTATTTTTTAGCATGAAAGCTAGCGATTTGCATTTGTATGATTAAAACCCTGCTAAATATGTTAAACATTGCTATCACTATGAGATTATATGTGTTTACTTGGAAATAGGAATAACTTTTCGGTCATCAAAACAAAACTTTATTTTTCTCGGATTGGTGCGAATGTTACTTACGACATAATGAAAATTTGCTCTTGATATAAGGTATGGAGGGGCACGTGTGCTTTTCTAAAGATTGTGCATTTATTTGGAATATACAAGATTTTGTATACACGCTATTTCAAAACTATCCAAATTTGGGTGGAATCCACCCAGATCGGTCAAAACTGAACCTACCCAACAATGGGTAAACTGTGTTGGGAGTGACAATTTGACAAATGAACAACATCGACATGAATCCGATCGACATTGTTCATTTGTCAACTTGTCACTCCCAACACAGTTTACCCATTTGTGGGTAGGTTCAGTTTTGACCAATCTGGGTGGATTCTACCCAAATTTGGGTAGTTTTGAAATAGCGTTTACCGTAGTTTTACCTTATGTATTATGGTTTTTTTTTAATGAACCTTACAAGTAATGGGTTGCTAAGAACCATTACCATTCCAAATTCTGTTTATATTGGAACCATTTTATTTATGATTTGAGAACATAATGGTAATGGTTATGGTAGTCAGTAAGATTCATAGATGGTTTTGTAACATAGATCAACTTTATGTGGAATATATCGCAAATTGGTTGCCTGTAAATTAATGATTGCTAATTCGCGATATATTCCACGTAAAGTTGACCGATAATACAAAACCATTAATGGACCTTACTGACTACCATAACCATAAGTTCTCAAACCATAAGTAAAAAAAAGTTCAAATATAGTCCTCGCTCCGAAAATGTATTTTGAATGGTAATGGTTCTTAACAACCCATTATTTGTAAGGTACCCTAATAAAAAATATTACATATAAACGAATGGTAACCCAAATGGTTAAACTATTCTACAAATGGTTTGGATGATACCGGAACACGCAAGCAAAATAACCATAACAATTTTATTAAGGTACACTTCCAAAGAACCATAATACATTAGATTAAAACTTAGTCACACAAACGTTCATGTAAAGTTCCATAACCATTTCAGTTATAGTTTAGCAGGGATTATAAACAATTTTTAACCCATTTTCGGAAAAATCAGGTTATGATTCGCGATGATGCGGGTAGCATTGAAAAGTATTTATTTTCAAAATTATTAGGGATGGGAATCTTGGCCCGGGTGGCACACTTGCCCCACATTACCCTACTATCAGCTGTGATGTAAGTGAATGGTTGTCGCTCATTCTGCAAGGACGGGGAGCGACAAAAGGCGAAAACGAATACCCCCAACTGGAAAACCGGTCTGGTTGTGGTTTGTGCTTAGTCGCCCGGTTTCCATGGTACCGGCTGTTCATTCCGTATTTGTTGTAGCTGGGAATTCCAAATGCTTCGAGCTGTGCAAAATTTCAATCGATTAGTAATACCTGCTCGTGTCCACAGCGCCAACAGAATGATGTCACTTTTGTGTAATGATTTTAATTTGGTTCGATCGCGATTTGAACTTCACATTGCTTATCTGGTGTTATCTTCTTACGTGCGATTTTAATTGCAGCCAAGATCACCGGAAACGGTACGACGGACGATGGATACGTCGAGGATTACATTTGTAACGAGAATGACGTCGGTGAAAATGAGATGAAGGCCTTCGAACTGGATGGAGGCAAGGTATTGCTGGTAAAGCAAAAAGGCAAGCTGTCGGCCATCGGAAACAAATGCTCTCACTATGGAGCGCTGCTGTCAACGGGAGCATTGGGCGATGGAAGAGTACGCTGCCCGTGGCATGGAGCTTGCTTCAACATTGAAACGGGAGACATCGAAGATTTCCCGGGACAGGATTCATTGCCCTGCTTCAAAGTTACCGTGGAACAAGGACGGGTAAGTTTTTTAGATTGAAGGAAAATTAATCTTGATGTATATTAGGGTTGGGTCTAAATTACTAGAGTCGGTGTATAATGAGTCACGCCAAGAGTGAAGCCAAGTCTACCTATTGAACTGTCAAATCGGCTACCTATCGTGCAAAGTAAATAAACATTACGATGCTATGAAAGGTCCACGAAAGGTATTGCAATGAAATATAAAATAAAATTGAAGAAATCATCATAAACACGCAGCGAGCATTAAATGGTCATGGGATACGTTTGGTTTTGATCAGTAATGAGAATTTCTTCTATTTTTTGATAAGATAATTTGACAAAATCACTGATATTATGATTCACTACAGCCGTTATTTTTGGTTCTCGCTAGAAGTAATTTAAAGTTGATGTAGAAGTCCTCTGTTGCCAAGTGAAAAGAAAGGGAATCCTTCGGAAACCGTGATGCGAGTTCAACTGTTTTTCTCTTGGCGTGACTCATTATACACCGACTCTATAAATTACAACCCCATGCTCCTCAATGTAATTTCGATGTGTATTTACACGGTAACCGCAAAATACCCAATAATGACAACAAAGTAAGCATTTTCGAGGGAGACTGGGACTACCTACTAAATGAGTAAAAATATCACCCATTTATGAGTATTTGTTATTCAAAAATGAATACTTACTACTTGTTTTTATAGTTGTAATTACTCATAAATGGGTGAAATTTTACTCATTTAATGAGTAATCCCAGTTTCCCTCGAAAATGCTTACTTTGTAGTCATTATTGGGTATTTTGCGGTTACCGTGTAGATACCGAACTACTGTGTCACATTTTAACCAGGGGATGGATATGGCTGTCATATCGCTTAAGTTTGCTGCGTACCGAACATCTGAAACGTTGTCAGCGGTACAAAGATAATAGTTAGGAATACTGTCAGCGAAACAAAGATAATAGTTAGGAATACTATTTTGCAGAAAACACTTATTTTCAATATAACTACGCTTAATACCGTTAAATCTACCATGATTTCAGTATAATTGACTATAAATATAATCAAATTTACTATACCATTCTGTCAAAACTACTATGCTTACTCAAACGGCATAGTAGTTTTGATAGAAAAAATAGTAAAATTAAATGAATTTCGTTTCTGCAAAAATTTATTGGTGGGAGTATTTAATTTAAACCATCAACATAGTATTTTTGCCAATGGATTTTGTTTCTGTGTATGTTTTGTTGTTTTGATGTTGAGTACGTGTATTCAGCTATATGTCAAACCGAGTTTGGTTATTCTTTGGTACAAGCAATGTAAATATTTACCTTATTTGACAAAACCCAGGTAATCATGACAGCAGTAGGTCTTTTTTCTTCATTCAAATTGTTTTCAATAATCAAACGTCATGATTACCTGGGTTTTGTCAAATAAGGTAAATATTTAAATTGCTTGTACCAAAGAATGATCTGAATTTGCTGGAACATTTTAAATTTTTTATGGAAAATTTTATGACAAACAGAACGAAACCATTAATTTGCTTGTCAAAACTGAAGACCTTGTAATTGTAAAGGCCGACGCACAATAGATACCCGAAAACGTATCTATTGTGCGCCGGCCTTAATTGTGCCTTCCGCTAAGTTGACGTGTCTAGGGACCAACCCCCCGGGTCGATACACCTACCGTCCTTCCCGTTGTACTTGTCAGCTTGTGCGATACTCTATAGATTCACAAGGGTGGTCGCATCCGAAGGCCTTGAAATAAAAAAAAATGTTTTCAAAACCTTAACCTTAAGAGAAATGTTCCATCTTCAAACATAGGCAGTCGTTACGAGTCCTCTTATACCAAGAATGTAAAACTATTTGTAAAAACTGATAAGATTTTTAAATCTTGGCTGTTAGTTGAACAACTATCTATTGATTTATCGGTATAGTTTTGGACTTTATTTGAGATCCTGGTATGAAGTTTGAGTGATTTTAGTAAAATTCTCGATTTTCAACTTTTTTCCTAGTGGACGAATTTCAGTAAAATTAGCGGCATATGATAGATCTTTATTATGACTACTAATGAGCTATATCGATAGCCAATAATTGTTGATGATATTTTTATTTGAGAGACTTTCAGCAGTCGAAAAAAAAAATCATAGGGTAGATCGCTGCTTCGTCGTAATCGCCCATTTCCGTTCTATCGATCAAAAAAGATCAATAATATCTCCAAATGACAAAATGACAAGCGATCAACGAACCGAATAATAACGTTATGTCAGAAGTGGAAAGCAATAATGATATAATCTTCTTCCTTCTTTTTCATGACAAGCAGTCCGTGCGACACAACTTACTCGGGGCGGTAGAAGGAAACGAGCAAATTGTTGGCAAGCTGCTTCACAAAGTAAAGCCGAAGATGATACACGTGTGTTAATGGGATTTTTTTGTTATCTCTTTTCTCGATTCATATCAAGCTATGTCCTCATCCGTGTATATTGCAACAAAGCAGGCAAGCAATATATCATTATCCTTCTACCACTCGGATCGAGCTATGTTACAGAGCGAGTTTGTCATGGTAGTCGTAGCAACCATTTTATCTGTATCGTTTGTTGCTTTATGTGTTTGTATTCGCTGATAATATCAATGATTTCACCGTGCACAAATCAATAATAGGTTTGTTCCGATGCGTTAGTTCATTAGCTACAACATAAATCCTGTTAGAGCGCATTGTATGAATATTTACGCTCATTGTTCTCAAAACAAAAGAAGCGCTCCTGGCGAATCCCCTTTTTCTACGTTTATCCGTAGGACGAAGAAAATCTAACGGCGTTTCAATGCATTAGGACGGAATTGAAACTCGTAGAACGAATTTAGGATCAAGAAGCAGTATTAGATTTTAAACAATACCTCAACAATTTGTGGCTCTTTATCAAATCTAGGTGAAAGGTGAATAAATTTTGAAGTCATCTTTGACAGAAATATTCCATTTTTTGTTTAAACTGGTTCAGAAAAGAGAGGTAAAGTGCGGGTTGCGCTTAGTAGGACGGAAATTAGATCAAAAACCCTAAATCTATCTTTTTAAATTATGCTAGTACAGCTGTTTTTCTACAAATTATGACAGCTGTGCGCTTAATTTTGAGATACATCGTATGTACACAGCAAAACAAAGTTATTGCAGTCTTTTTTACACGTCGTAAGAGACGAACCAGCCTACGGCAAAAATCTTTTATAGGTTTTTAGCACGTTCTTTATTTATGATTCATTCCTTTATTTTTTTTTTTTGCTGCTCCTCTTTTCCCTGGCTTAGACCGTGTGACGGTCCATCTCGCCAATCATTCCTTTATTTAACGTCGGTCTCTGTTCCGCAATCTAGTGCCAATCACCGATGGACATCGATTGCCATCCATTGACGGCAATCGAATGTGCAGGAAGGCAGCTTCCACACCTGCGTAGGATATCGCTCCCATTCAACACACATGGGCCGGGACCAACGGTTTTACTTCCCTTCCGAAGGAAGACGTGACCAGAGATTTTTATGCCTCAGAAAAATCTCACCGACCTCGGCTGGGATTGAACCCATTGGGGTGTGAGAAAGCAGTCACACTTACCACTACACCACCGGCGCCGGCCTTTATTTATGGTGATTTCGTGGTTTTTTTTTTCATTACGGTTTTTGGAATGACTTTATTAAATAGCTAGAAAAAAAAGTTCCGAGGAAAGTACTTGACCAAAAAAGACTTGGACGCTTCTTTTGCTGACCATTCAGAAGGTTACTGTTTTAGCACAGATAAACAGACGTAATTCTTTGAATTAAATTATCTTCAAAACATAGTACCGCCAAACATAGGACTTCAGTAACGACATATCGCGGGCTTCTTGCGGAAAACAAGTTGGCTTGCTGATTCGCAAACAATGTTGCATGCAAGAAAAATCGAATATGTAGAAACGTCAAAGTGATCCGATGCCAGCGCTGCGACGAGTAGTTCGCGGAAACGATAACATTCAAACCAATTGTTAAATGCGCAAACGATGATCCAGAATGAAGAACGTCTGTTTGTTTGTGGTTTTAGGAAAAGTTGTTCACGTAGCCAACACCTTTCAGATGGTGGGCAATAAGGTTCAGAATTCTCTCACTATGCGCCACTAGTGTGTAAGTGAAATTCCTATGTATGCTATATCTTGAGAAGATGCCACCCCGATTTTTTGCACATTTTCGTTCTTAAAATAATCCATAAAAAATTAGTAAACTTAGATTGTCACGCACTGACCTTTCGGAAAATCTGAAACATCCGTGATTAGAGTGCCACAGGATAATAGATAAAATTGAATAAGTATGAGATTACAACTTTATCACTAGTGGTAAAATTTACTGTAATTGGTGTTGTTTAGGGTGAGCTTAGCTTTCAATTGTTTCCGGTAGGGTGGGATATAGTAGCTTCTAATTGGTCGGTGTTAACACCGATGAACCGACATGCTCTAGTGATTTCATTTGTCCGCAAATTGATTTGTCCAATGAGCGATTCGATCTGTAAATCGGGCGATCAGATCTGTCAAACGAGGTAAGACGAAAACCAAGTCAATATAAATTTTAGTGTGTTCGTGTCCTTGCGATCGAATTGAGTACATGGTCGTAGTGTTTGAAGGTTTTTTAATATGGCGTCTTGGTCGGACTTTGGCGTCGGCAAGACTTTGAATGTAGCTTCTATGAGCGGGCACTTCGGTTCGTCGGTGGTATTGAGTCAGACTAGACTAAGGAAATTTGATGAATTTTAAAGTTTACTTAGAGCATTGTTGGTTGGTTGATTGCCTTTATTAAGGAGATTTTCAGCCAGCACTGGTTCTTCACCGGTTAGAGCATTGTTTCTTATGTAAGGAGACAACCCGTTTGGCTGTTTTCTCTTGCTGTTTGTAACCTTTATGAAATCTGACGAAAGTGAAATGTAGCCTTTTTTGTGCTACTTAAAGACTGTATTCGAAAAAAAAAAATCATATTGTCTTCAAACTTTCAGGAAATAAAGAATAACATTGTGGATATGTTTCAACAACTTTATTGAAACTCTTCTCCATATTAAAATGCCCGCACTTTTACCGTGACACTGCTCATTAGATTTTGAGCTATGGTGGATCCAAATTGTTTCGACAGTTTCAACCTCTCTTTCTTCAAATCCAGTTCATTTTCCAACATCTTAGGAGTTTTGCTAAGTTTTGCCTTCATGATAGCCCAATATTTCTCGATTGGGCGAAGTTCCGGCGTGTTCGGTGGGTTGACCGCTTTAGGTATAAAAACAACATTGTTGTTTTAGTACATGTGTAAGACTGGTCCGGCGTAATGGCAAGATGCCAAATCCGGTCAAAACAGCGTCTGGCCTCCGTGGGACTTCAGGAAGGGCAGGATGCGCTTCTGGAAGCATTCATTCTTGTAAATTTGCCCGCTAATGGTGCTGTTTTTCGATTCATCTATGTGATGCGTTTAGATTTTCGAAGTGAGTGCACAAAAGAGCGTGTTTAATTTTTTTCGAATACAGTTTTTAGTCCCCTCTGAATTAACACCGACCAATTGGTACTAGCTTGGTTTGGACTGGTTAGGTTCGAATTAACCCGGAATTTTATTTGAGCCGATAAGCTTAAATAGCTTTGCGTGGGATAGTTTGAAATACCGAGCTCTATCATCTTAGATAATTATTACTTTTTCAATAACTTTAGTAGAGTAAATTACGGCTTCAACTCCAATTGACTGTTTTCGGCAACCAAAATATATGCGTTAATTTCATTGCATTTCCTGACCAAAACACTTCGCGAATGTATTGAAACGATTCCTTAGTCTTTTAGCTTCAATCTGATTAGGTATTTAAGACTCCCTGGGCTTTGGCAAAACCTTGAGGTAGTTTAATTATGCTACTAGATCCCAGGGTTGATCTGGATCTTTACCACATTGGAAAGATGCACACTAGTTTTGCCAGATCAGTGTTGATGCTTACCAAAAGTGCATTTGAACCCGCTTATAAAAGCATATTAACAAATTAATCATCACCGTACATTGTTTATTGCTCTGTACTAATAATAAATGATTAAGCACAGCATTTGATATTTTAGTAGGAATGCTGGAATTAGTCGTAGTGGAAATCATTTGTTTTTTAATCCATCCTTTATTGAATTGGACTTATTTCTATAGGTATGCACGTTTGGAAAGTATCATCACAAAGATTCTGCACTCGGTCTACAGCGTGTGGGCGGGAAGCGTTGTGTTTGTTTTTTTTTTAATTGCAATTGTAATTTTTTTTTTTTTTCCTTTGGTTTGTTTTTTCCGTCGATCTTGTTTTCCGTGCTGAGCACCAATGCTACCGACGTGCCAGGAAGGCAGCTCCCACACCTGGACCCTACCTATCGACCCATCAACTCATGAACCGGGGACCAACGGCTTTACTTCCCATCCGAAGGAACGCGTGATCAGAGATGTTATGCCTCAGAACATCCCGGCGGCGCCGACTGGGATTGAACCCAGGCCTGCTGGGGTGAGAGGTAATCACGCTTACCACTACACCACCGGCGCCGTTATAATTGTAATTGTTCAGTGTATAGGCTGTGCCAACCGCTAAGTTGGCTTATCTAGGGACTAGCCCCCTAGTCTATACACCTACTGTCCTTCCCGTTGCACTCGTCAGCTCGTACGATACTGTAGACACACATGGGTGGTCGTATTCGGGTCCTCCCCTGGGTAGGATCGTGTCCGTCCAGGTTCTGGTACATTAACTTATATCTATGCATGGTAATTATAGTTTACAACTCACCATTTGATTATAAATGTCGATAATGCTGAAACTATATGAATGTTAATGATCATTATTAGGTGTGTGCTGCAATGGAGTAGTAATTGAAGGAAATGAGGTTCTCATGTGGCTTATATGTAATTCTAAAATAGGTGTAAATCATGCAAGCACACACCTTTTACAATTCTTATCCTACTTACCAGTTCCGTCCAGTATAAATAGGCTGAAATTTTGGAGCCTCAACGTCTGTTCTCTGTGGCTATCTTATATCTAGCTCTTTTCAATAATTGCAACATGTGAATAATGCAGAACAATTTTTAAATTGTTCTAGAGTCAAAGTGATTTTGAAGGAAGGTCAAACTACAAACGAACAGCTCAGCCGCTCTGAACCCTATGAAAATTATGCTTTCCCAATATGGTACATTCTCTCACAATAAACCTGTCATTTCTAGCCTATCTGCACTATTTAATAAATGGAAACCATAACATGGGTTACGCTCCTCCTAAGCGGGCCCTCCGCATCCTATCTCTGTCTTATCTCAAATGCCAATGGTTTGAATGTATCAATATATACATTGGAAATGACGTTTAATCAAATAAACCCATACCCCACTCACTTGGCCAGGCTTCAGAATCGTCCAGTGGGCAGTGCGCTCTACACTCCAAGTTCCCTTTCTTTCAAATTTAACCCAAATTTTATATTTTACCCTTTTGAGTGTTGATTAATCACAATGAAACATTGTGACAGGGCACGGACTTGAGGTTACTAGAGTATTAAATAATCTAGGTCCTATTTAGGATTATATCTGAAAAATCCAAATTTGGCCAACGCCCACCAATGGACTCTAGTACTTTTACGACAGTGTATGTAAATATGTATTGTAAAGATGTTAGTCTAATTTGTATTGTACTATCTAACCAATTTGTGGGACCTACTTTAGCTCAGTTCACGCAGAAAAATGGATTTTTGTTTCAGGGCATAATGTATTTTGTTATTGATTCAAACATATTGTATCACTATTTCAACAACACATATATTTGAATCAACAAAATGGTTTTTAAAATCAACAAAATGGTTTTTAGAATCAACAAACAAATTATTGACTCTACAACCGGTTTGTTGATTCAAAAATATTTTTCTTTGAATTAACTGAATAATATATTTGAATCAATACCTAAAATATATTAGGCCCTGAGCCAAAAATATATCCATTTGAATTTAAAAATTATTTCTCTGCGTGTTGGTAAAGGCGCAGCTACAAAGCAAGACCATGCTGGAGGTGACTGGGTTCGATTCCCGGTCCGGTATGATCGGACTTGCCACACAATTATACCAATGCAAAAATGGTACAGGCATCGAAGGCTCTCAATTAATAACTGTGGACGTGCATCTAGAACACTAAGTTGAGAGCACGCAATAAGCTAATATGCGATATGCAATAAGCTTGAAATGCGAAGAAGAAGATCTAACTAATTTGTTGGAGGGAGACGAAGGTGAGCAATTTTTGAAAAGGTACAAAAAAGGTTGAAACCCACTGTTCTTGTGATGGTCAGTATCTTGGAATTTTAACGCCACTTAGTGAGAGAATACCAAGCTTTGCGGGTTCTCTACCCGGAAGGCCTTGACTTCTCGAATAACTTTGTCGAAGACAGCAACTTTCTAGATGGCCAAGTCGTCCAATCATGTGGAGCTACGCGGTAGATACCTACTAATAAAATGTATAACATCATTTTCATTTCAGGTTAAAATACGTGCGAAACGGTCGGAGCTTCAATCTGGGAAGCGAACCAAGGCCATGGTCAAGAAGCTCAACGAGGACGAACGAACTTTCGTGGTGATCGGTGGAGGACCGTCGGGTGCCATCTGTGCAGAAACCTTACGCCAAGAAGGTTTCACGGGTCGTGTCATCATGATCAATAAGGAACCATGCTTGCCCTACGATCGAATCCTAGTAAGCAAAACAATGGACTTTGAGTTGAATAAGAAGCTGCTGCGAGATGAGAGTTTTTACGCCGATAATGAAATCGAAACCATGACGGGGACGGAAGTAACTTCAGTAGACAACGCGAACCGAGAACTGACGCTTAGTAACGGTTACAAAATCAAGTATGACAAGGTGTACATTGCCACAGGATCGAAGGCCAGGAAAGCTCCAATCGATGGCGCTGATTTACCTAACGTTTGTGTGCTGCGGTCGAACGAACATGCCAAATATGTGAATGGTCAGCTAAGTCTTGACAAACACGTGGTAGTCCTTGGAGTTAGCTTCATCGGCCTCGAAGCTGCAGCATATTGTGTGAATAAAGTTGCAAAAGTAACTGTTATCGGTCGAAGCGCAGTTCCTCTGATGGATTCCTTCGGCGAAAAAGTGGGTACCCGAGTGATGAAAATGTTCAAGGAAAAAGGAGTGCATTTCATAATGAATTCTGGCATAAGGCGTTGCATTGGGGATGACGATAGGAAGCTAACCTCAGTTGAGTTGAATGATGGAACGATACTGAAAGCAGATATTTGCATCATGGGTGTAGGGTCTACCTTCTTCACTACTTTCCTGGAAGGATCAGACATCAAATTGAATAAGAACGGATCTGTGGACACGAATCAATTCCTTGAAACAAATGTATCGGGGGTGTACGCAGGGGGAGATATTGCTAATGCGCCTGTTTTCTGCAACAATAACGAACTGACTGCAATCGGTCACTACCCATTGGCACAATATCACGGCAAAGTAGCAGCTCTAAATATGGTAGGCAAGACCACTGAGCTGAAAGCGGTACCATTCTTTTGGACCATGCTTTTTGGAAAGGGCTTCCGATATGCTGGTTACGGAAGACCTCATGAAACGATAATTGAAGGCGATCTTGAACAGCTGAAATTCGTAGCCTTCTATTTGGATGCCAATGGAAAAGTAATCGGAATGGCCTCTTGTGGGCGAGATCCAGTTGTGTCCCAATTTGCCGAGTATTTGTCACAAGGAAAAAATCTGCATAAAAATCAACTAAATCCGGATCCATTTGCTTGGACTAAGTAAGGTCAAACCCTTCGTCCTTTCGTAGTTTATTAAATGTGCGGCCTCAAACCTGCCTGCAGTATTATCATTGGACTATTCTTTCGATCCATTTCGAAACGAACCGGGCGATTCTATCTAGAAATGTTGATTTTGTATTTATTTGTTATGTACATACGCAAGCTTCAATAAATGTTGTACGCGCTGAGTCACAGTAAAACAGTAATATCTTTCTACAAAACATGAGAACTAACCTTTGATAAATCCCCGAAAGAACGGTCTCATTCCCATACATTTTTTACATTCAGGTGCTCCAGCCGATCGGAAATCGTAACGTGAGGTTTCATTTTGAGCTGCTGTTCGCGCCACTTGTTGATTACTTGCTCCTTCTTGTTTAATTCTTTCGCGTGGCCGGATGATTGCTCCTGGGAGGGTAAAGAAACGAATTACCGAATGAGACCGTACATTATTAGTCTTCATCTTACCAATGTTAGATAAGGTTTCAGCAGCAGGGCCATGTTACGCTCAGTCTGTTCGTACTCGCGCTGGAGCGTGTCCACCGATCGGGGAGTCACGCGTTTGACTAGACGGTACTTTCCTCGGAAGATATGACCATTGACACTCTTTTTGAACATATTTATCACGGTTAGTCTCATTTTAACAATAAGTTTTTGCACAAATTTCACAAAATTTAATCGATTACAACCAGCACGCAGGCCAGTTTTCGATCTTTTTCCTGTCAAACTTCAAACGATAAATCTCGCGTAACAGTTGAAAAAGACCTATCTTCGTTAATCGATTCTATAACAAATTTCTCGCTAAGAGCAACCGTAACGGTCGTTGTCATTTGCGTGACTATTTTAACAGCGCACAGCGCTCTCATTTTAGTTTAGTCACTCTTCTCCACACCGGTCGCTGCTATCGCGGTTATCAATTTACTCGCCGTAGTCCGTACCGGTAGTGAGCATTTTGACAATTCTACGAATAGCAACCTTTCTCCCGCGCTGCTATCGCGCTGCTAAATTTGGTAACGCGCTTCTCACCGAGAAGCCGACTGCTATTTTAGTTACTCGTATGGCAACCCCCGATACGGTAGCTGCGCTACACGGTAATCGCAAAAAACTCTTTTATGACTATAAAGTACACATTTTTGAATGAAAACGGGACTACCCACAAAATGAGTAAAATTTTACACATTTATGAGTAATTACTAGTACAAAAATGAATAAATTTTATGCATTTATGAGTACCAGATACTCATAAAATTTGTAAAAAATACACACATTTTAGGTGTAGTCCCGTTTTAGCCGAATATGCATACTTTATAGTCAAAATTGAGTCCTTTATAGTCATTTTTGCGTATTTTGCGGTTTCCGTGTATGATGAGGGCTGCTAAAATGAGTTTAGCAGCGTACCGTTACGGTTGCTCTAATACCATTGACAGACATACAAAGCAGTACGGCAGTACCGTTCGACCGAGGGTTCGACAGAAGATGATGTTAAAACACTGTACAGACTGGAGAGTTATAACATGTTATAACGGTTGTCAAATAATTGCAACACAGAAACTTGTATACACATATGTGTTCATTTTTAGTAAACAGGGCCCCGCTGTTGTGTCACTTTTTGTCGAGTGAGTGAACTCAAATCCATCCGTGCACTCGTCTATTTTGCGGTTTCCGTGTAGAACGAGAAAACGATAAACAAGTGCACGGGTGAACTTTTGTTCATATACACAGCAAAAAAGTTGTTGAATATTACATCGAAACTGCTGCAACCAGGTCAATCCATCGGTTTTGTAATATCACATTGTACGATGTACATCGATTTTGCGAACAAAATAACATTCATTGATATAATATTGTATCTGCGTTTTGCTATTACATCATTATTTTCATACATCCCCTAATAAAAATTGTATGGTTAATTTGCTTAACGACGTGTTCTGGGTATCATCCAAACCATTTGTGGAATAGTTCAATGATTTGGGTTATCGTTCGTTTATGGTTATTTTTATTAGGGTCAGCTTGAATTACGTTGATCGATATTACATTTTTTTTGCTGTGTACTGAACAAAAATTAACACAACAGCGGGGCCCTGTTTACTAAAAATGAACACATGAATAATGCTCGCGTAAATTTTGAAAAGGGCCTATCATATTTTGTAAACAACTTTCTAGGTCCTTTTCACAAGAACCGAAGTACGCCCACGAAAACCAAGAGCACTATTGGGAAGGGGATAATTTCCCCTACCCGATGGTGTTTTTAGTTTGCGTGGGCGTATTCGGTTCGCACGAAAAGGGCTTAACAAGTTTTGTGTACAAAAGTTGATAGGCCCGTTTCAAATGCTACGCGAGTATTATTCATGTGTTCATTTTTAGTAAACAGGGCCCCGCTGTTGTGTCGCTTTTTGTCGAGTGAGTGAACTCAAATCCATCCGTGCACTAGTCTATTAGGTTTTGCACCGTCGGGGTTAACCTCAATCTGATGACAGTTCAGTGGTACTGTTTACGTGGACTTAGTCGTTTTTTTCTTGGGTAGATTTTCTCGATAATTTTTCAGACTGCAGTGAGATGTAAACCACACTTCTGCATTGTCCACGAGCAACATCCTTTCACCGCGCTGTTCCTCGACAATTTTCAAGTTAAAATTCGGAAATTTTAGAATTTGTTTTTTCGAAAAAACGACTAAGTGCTTGTAAACAGTACCACTGAACTGTCAAAAAGGTTCAGCCGATTAACACTGAGTTCATTCGTGACGTCACGCTGCAGAACCTAATTAGGTTTTGCACCGTCGGGGTTAACCTCAATCTGATGACAGTTCAGTGGTACTGTTTACGTGGACTTGGTCGTTTTTTTCTTGGGTAGATTTTCTCGATAATTTTTCAGACTGCAGTGAGATGTAAACCACACTTCTGCATTAGGTTTTGCACCGTCGGGGTTAACCTCAATCTGATGACACTTTAGTGGTACTGTTTACGTGGACTTAGTCGATTTTTTCTTGGGTGGATTTTCTCGATAATTTTTCAGACTGCAGTGAGATGTAAACCACACTTCTGCAATGTCCACGAGCAACATCCTTTCAACGCGCTGTTCCTCGACAATTTTCAAGTTAAAATTCGGAAATTTTAGAATTTGTTTTTTCGAAAAAACGACTAAGTGCTTGTAAACAGTACCACTGAACTGTCAAAAAGGTTCAGCCGATTTACACTGAGTTCATTTGTGACGTCACGCTGCAGTACCTAATTAGGTTTTGCACCGTCGGGGTTAACCTCAATCTGATGACAGTTCAGTGGTACTGTTTACGTGGACTTAGTCGATTTTTTCTTGAGTGGATTTTCTCGATAATTTTTCGGACTGCAGTGAGATGTAAACCACACTTCTGCAATGTCCATGAGCAACATCATTTCTACGCGCTGTTCCTCGACAATTTTCAAGTTGAAATTCGGAAATTTAAGAATATTTTTTTTCGAAAAAACGACTAAGTGCTTGTAAACAGTACCACTGAACTGTCATAAGATTGAGGTTAACCCCGACGGTGCAAAACCTAATAGACACGCTATATACACGCTATTTCAAAACTTCCCAAATTTGGGTAGAATCCACCCAGATCTGTCAAAACTGAACCTACCCAAAAATGTTGGAAGTGACAAGTTGACAAATTAACAACGTTGATCGGATTCATGTCGATGTCGTTCATTTGTAAAATTATAACTCCCAACACATTTTACCCATTTTCGGGTAGGTTCAATTTTGACCGATCTGGATGGATTCTACTCAAATTTGTGGGGTTTTGAAATAGCGTGTAGTCAAATTTGACAAACGCTAATCAAAAATTAGAACGGGAAATGCGATCCGCGGCATTTTATAGATGAGTATTTTCTAAAAATTATCACTTTTTTACGTAGTTTCAAGCAAGTTTAATTTTTAAAACTGCGGTCTGCCGCTCGATTGATTTCGATCATGAATTTTGCACCGGTAACGCCGAGAGCCTTTGTGGCAATACAAAATTTAAACATTGCCGAGCTGGCACAGTGCAGCGCTGTCGAAATCCGTCCTCTGTTGCCGTGTCTGGTACGAATGAGTCTACTACCGCCACTGGATGGGACAAAAAGTTGGATGGATAATCGGAAACAGTTGCTCTCGATACTGGCCGGAATAGAGGTAGTAAATAACATCGTATCACTGCTGCAGGTCAGCTTTCACGAGCTGGAGGTGGACGTAAAGAAGGAACAGCAGCTGAGGTATTTTTCCATTGGTATAGTTGTTTGTGTGTACGTAATGCTGGATATTAATTTTAGGCAAAAGATTGGATATACGGCTCAGGATTCCGCCCAATTTCATAGCCTTCCGAATGGGGTGGTAATGGGTTTCGAAAGAGCCGACATCGTCAGCAAAGTCCGAGTGGTTCTGTCGGAACTGTTCTACATCCAGGCACAGGTCGTCGAACAGACGGCTCAGGTTGCGGCCCAAAAGTCTTCGAATGAAGTTGTAATCAAAAAGTCGGAGTTATTTGACAACGATATTTACCTGGAAGAAATTGCTGATATAATTTGTATAGCCCTGGCGGAGCTTCCATCGCTTTTGAATCTGCTTGAAGTGGTCGATACGCTTCTGTACGTAAACAATGGTAGCAGAATAGTTTGCTGGGTGGTTGCCAATATGCCGGATTGCTTCCGCGAGGTGGTGACGGCTCTAATAACAAATGGAGACGAAGATACACCGGATGGCAAGCTTCGGTTGGCTGCCCTCTACGAATTGTGTGAAATGAATCCAAATCAGGCTTTGACAACGAGAACGATTTGCGTGGAACAAACGAAAATGCCTTCTTTAATGCTGAAGCTCAGTTTAAAGGATCCGCAAAATTTGGTTTGTATTTTCTGTTACCACAGGTGAAATTTAATATACTAAACTGTTGTAATGATTGCAGGTTGCTTTTGTTTCTGGATTATTACTAGGAAACGATCAAAACATTCGACAATTTTTTGCACTGTATGTTCGAACCAGTCAAAAACGAAAAGGAGACGCATTGCATCTTTTACGTGACGAATTACTGAAACAGTTGCAGAATATTATAGTTTTTTCGCATAATTCTCAGTTGCCGGAGGAATATGTGGTGCAATCAGCAGCCATGTTGCGATTGTATTGTGCGCTTCGTGGTATTTCCGGAATCAAGTTTACCGATGAAGAGATAATGTATCTGATGCAACTGATCACTTCAAAGCCACCACCGACACCGGCTGGTATTCGTTTTGTGTCACTTGGCCTATGTATGTTGATAGCTTGTCCATCGATAATTGCCCATCAAGGAATTGAAGCCAAGATAATCGAGTGGATTCAGTGGTTGATTAAGGAGGAAGCATACTTTGAAAGTGTCAGTGAAGTTTCGGCATCGTTCGGAGAAATGTTGCTTCTGATGGCAATCCATTTCCACAGCAATCAGCTGAACCATATTTGCGAGCTGGCCTGCTCTACGCTAGGCATGAAGTTTCCCCTTCGATCAAACACGATCACTCGTATGAAGTACATTTTTACCCAGGAAATCTTCACGGAACAGGTTGTTGCTGCACATGCAATCAAAGTTCCGGTAACAGCAAATCTAAATGCGAACATTCCCGGTTATTTACCAGTGCACTGCATCCATCAGCTGCTAAAGTCGCGGGCCTTTTCCAAACACAAGGTGCCGATCAAAAATTGGATTTATAAGCAAATCTGCACTTCAGTAACGCCCCTGCACCCTGTGCTTCCTGCTTTGATTGAAGTGTATGTGAACTCCATAATCATGCCTAACCAGAAGGGTCCGATCGAGCACACCCACAAGGCACTATCCGAACAGGAGATTCAGCAGATTTTTCAGAATACCGCATTCGCTGCCAAGCAGGTGAGTATTTTAGAACCCTTTCAACATTTTTCCTCTCAACTTGGCGATTTTCGATTACTTTCCCATTAGTTAATTGAGAGCTTTTCTATGTCTTATACATTCTATTTTGTGGCAAACAGAACAATGCTTTATTCACAGGAATGAACAATATAAAAATGCACAGTAGTTTTTGTGAACAAAACTCCTGTTCTCGTGATTCAGAGAAGGCCTACAGAAAACAAGAACACCATCGGTTTTTCATAGGCGAGCTTTGATTCACGAGAAAAGAGCATTTAGTGTGTACTAAACAAAATACTCCAATTCAGCAGGAATTTGCGAAGCAAAAAACTAACAGCAACAATGAAATGGAGCAAGCCGAATCCAGCCAGGCGGAAGAAGCAGCGACACTAAGCAACACAAACTTGACCCCTCAGCTGCTGCTACTTTACTACTTGCTGCTGTACGAGGATGTCCGACTGAGCAATATGGTCAATATCATCACCAGTGGTCGTCAGGTGAAAAGTTATTCGAACGAGTTTATGTCGGAATTGCCGATAAAGTATCTTCTACAGCAAGCGCAAAGGAATCAACAGGAGTACAGTGTCCTTTTCAGTCCTCTACTACGCTTGCTGGTAACGCACTTTCCGCATCTTTCGCTGGTGGACGATTGGATAGATGAGGAATGTATTTCAGTTGAGCACACATCGAATGTGCCACTCAGCGAGCTCAACTTGCTCGAAGCCTTCGAAGAAATCGAACTCAATCCCGGAAAAACTATCAAATGGTTGAAGATAATGATGAGAAAAGCCCCCACGGATTTATGGCCTTTGGCGGAGACTTTTATACGCTATTTCAAGGCGATACTCAGTTGTACAGTTCCACGACAAATCCAAGAACTGTACAAAAATGTTTGGATCCGGCTGAACACTGTCTTCCCTAGGCGTCTTTGGGTGATGTCGATCAATGCCCTGATGCCCGAGGATGCCGTGACGAGAAATTTCACACTCACGCAAGAGAACATACTGATTGATCCTTTGCAAGTGCTACGTTGTGACGAACGTGTGTTTCGCTGTGCCAGTGCATTGGCAATCGTTTTGCGGATTCTGCAGGCCAGTTTGGCAGCATCGAAAAGTCAACTAACACGTCACATGCTGGACAAACCGCTAATCGACGTTGGAAACCAGGTCAAGTCGGATACTGACCGTGAAGAGCTTAAGCTAGCTCTGGTTGCTTCTCAGGAAAGTGTGGCAGTGCAAATTCTCCTCGAAGCGTGTCTCGAAACGGAAGACGATCGTATCAAACCGGGTCGCCAATGGGCTCTTCGGGAGATTCGGGGAGTTATATGCTCCTACATCCATCAAGTTTTCATAGCAGAGCCATCACTTGCTAAGCTTGTACACTTTCAAGGATATCCCCGTGAGTTGCTTCCGATGACGGTTCGTGGCATTCCGTCGATGCATATTTGCCTGGACTTCGTACCGGAACTGCTTAGCATGGTCGAAATGGATAAACAGATCTTTGCTATAGATCTCACCTCTCACCTGTCTCTACAATATGCGCTTCCAAAATCGCTCAGTATTGCGAAGCTTTGCCTGAATACAGTTACTACACTTTTGGGAGGTAAGTGCGACCTAGATTAAACGTTCGAATTTAATACGAGATTAAAGCTATTTTCATCTTTCAGTGCTCTCCAGTGATACGCGTATTGAAATGTTCCGAGCCGTGCTTCCGTGCATTGTCCGATTTTCCGAAGCTTTCCCACCCCTGTTGGACGAATGTATAATGTTCTTGATGCAACTTGGACGCATCGCCGAGTCGCAATCCGCGCTAGGTCGGTCGGTTTCGTTGCCTAACCTATATTTAGGTCCCGAGGCGAAGGTCCGTTCACACAGTAAACGTTCCCAATATGCCGAAAAGCTGGTCGATGAAATCAAAGAAACATTCAGTAAACTATTGGACGATGCTGTCATGAATCCGAAAATTTATTGACTTTACTTTTTTATACAAGTGTGTATCATCTGGAGTACAATAAACGAACATTGTCGGACTTCTTCCGATATGTTGCTATTTTCGTCGCATCCCAATTATTCCTGCGCTTCAATTGTGTAAATTCTGATGGAGCTTCTTGAATAATGTTCATTGAACCATTTGTTTTGTATTCGTAAAGAGTTGCCTTTGGTCGGTTGGTCCAGTATTTTGTTGATACTAGAATGGCGTTTGGCTCAATTGCAGCTAGGCTAAGTTTTTCTTTTTCATTTCTGTCATTCGGTTCAACCGTCCGCTTCCTTATTTGTTTCATCCTTTTATTTCTAGGGATCGTGACAGGGCTCTCCTCAATATCCGTGGCCTTCAATTGCGAATCGCACTCACGTAACAGTTTGACGCCATAGTTTTTTAATGACTTGCCTGATTTTCGTACGGTTTGGTTGTTTAAATCAACGAAAGTAATTTTCTGATCGATGATCATAGACAGCTTCTTGCCGATAAACTTCTTCATAGACTCTGTAACGTTGATTTCGCTTTGGAAAACATTCTCTTCTACCAAATAACGGTTCGACTTTAGGCCGTCAACTGGTTTTGCTGAACTTTTTGAGTGACCTGAATATCAATAGGTAGGAAGTTAATATTATCCTATCTAGCAATCATCAAAATGCAACTGTAATCTCACCTAGATCCGGATCTTTCTGAAACATTGCATCATTGATTAAGGTTGTATCAGCGGCTTCCAGAAATTTTTTGATGTTTTCATCTTCCGACTCTGAACTGGACATATTTTCGTTACCGTTAAATTTGGATAATTAAAAATGATTTTTTTTTTTTTTTTGTTTGCTGTTGTCTGATGACGGCTAAGACCATGGTTGGTCCATCTTGCCAGGTGTTCTTGGTTTTGATTCATAGATGTAATTTTATTTCCTGAATGAAGCGGGTGATCTGCTTCATCGTTGTCTCACATTCATCTTGCAGTATCCCGACGAGCGGCATGCAGTATTCCAGTGCTGGGAATTTGCTTCTGATACGGTTGAATTTCGGGCAAATGTACAATATGTGCTCTAGGTTTTCCGTCTCATCGCATTCGGTGCATCGGTCATTTGGTTCCATTTTGAACATCGCTTTTCTTTCTTTCGTTAGGGTGTGCCCTGCTCTTATCCTGCTCATGATTCTTTTTTCTTCCGTTGATAGTATCAAGTTTTTGAACCAAATATTCCTGCGTGGTTGTGCTTGTACTGATCTGTACCATTTACCTTTATCTTGACTCGTAGCTTCGAAGACTCTTCTCCATTCCTCCCACGATTCTTTTTTTGCTAGAACTATCGCATCTCCGAAGGTGATTGAGTTGTGTATGCTTTGGGTCCCTTCTGTTCTCCTAACTGCTTTTCCGTCTACTATTTCGTTGCCCTGGATTCCTGAGTGGCTCGGGATCCATTGGATTTTCAAGTTTCGGCATTCAACTTTTTGAAATAGTTCAACTATATTGCTGGCTATGTAGTTGTCTGGGACTTCCTTCCTGTTCCTCAGGATGGCGCATGGTAGTAACAAATTAGAAAAAGATTTGCGTTTTTTTTTTATTAAAATTTAAACGAATTTCAATATGCGATAGTTTGTAGTTTTCTGCTTGCGGCGGTTGAATTAAACAGAACTTCAGCAGATGAGGGAACATGTAGCGTATTTCTTCGGTTGTTGTCACTTCGGATTCGGATCGGTGACCAGTTTCGAAATCGGGATTGGAACCGGAAGATTTGGATACGTGATTCGTGTTGTTTACGCATAGAAAGGATCGTTATGATGACGGTGGCTGAATCTGTATTAATGAAATTAAGAAAATGAAATAATTTTAGCTAACTACCGTGTAGTAGGTACGATGAATTTGACGACGTGGATGAGGATTACGAGTTTGAGTGGTCTATCATGTGGACGCGGATGTAGATGTGAAGTGGCCTATGATCAGGACATGCATGGGATCAAAGCTGGGACACCAGGACAGAATGTAAACGACCAGTTTTTCCTGTTTTGGGTTGAGGGATGGGTTTTTTCATACTGATCACGAGCTGTAACAAAAAAGTGTATTATACGTCGTCCTCAATTCCTTTACCTATTATCGTGAGAGATGTTAACAAACGTTCCATGTGGGACTAAGAAGGCATCCTCTTGCAAGAAAAGGTTACTCCCCTTGACGATAATTAGTAAAGGAACAGTAAAGCATTAAATATAGAAATCTACATGTAACAATGCATATGACAAAAACATTACTAAGAGGGGGTGTCTTCATTTTACTCAATTTAGCGTACCGTAATTAATGGATTGCTCCTAAGTAAAGTAAACTCATAATTAATCATATTGTTGAGCAGCTTTAAAACGTTATTCTACCAGCGATTTCAAGAATATATTAATATATATATATAATATATTTTCACGAAGTTCTAGAAGAAATTTTGTTTAAATATTGTTCCACGGCAAAGTTCGAGTGGTAGGAAACGTCGTTTTAAACTGTTCGTATGATGTGATGCATTATTGATACGGGAAATGCATAAGGTATTTCAAGATCAGTAGGCAGTTTGGTCAGTATGGAAGACAAATGTGACGATGTTGAAGATTTGCATACTCATCAGAACAAATACGGGGTATGGCATATTCAAGACGATATAAGATTTGGTGCTGTTATTGGAAGCATCACGGGATCAGTTGCAACAATTATAATCACTTTTGCACGACTCTTTTTAATAGAACAATTATGAAAATGAATTTAAGCATTGAAAGGCTGAATCGCTGGTTCACCTTGAGCTTTTTGTGACTCGATGAACATTTTCACAAGGTTGTTGACGGTGGCCCGGGTGCTGGTTTTGCGGGTTTTATACATTACGCAAGAAAAAAAATCGTCCAACCTAGAGAGCGATCGCGGAGCCGGAATTCCAAGCACTGAAAGGCTTTTGAAAAGCGTGTCGATGCCAAGATACGAGTTGGCGCACTCTACGAGAACCGCCTTGTCAACGATAACAAACAAGCGACCGCTCTTCATCGGCTGTTCTAGGCACAGGAGATGGGGTTCAGATGAGGTATTGGGATTGATTAGGTATTGGCTGAGAGCATCATCATCGGTAGGCTGGTTGAAGAAAAAAATACAATGAAGCAAATTCATGAAAAAGCTCCATCCAGCATTTCCGAAAATATATCAGATAGAAATAAAGAGCATTACCTCCATCCACCGGATCAACGCCCCTGCCGCTTCTACGTCCGATAGGTCCAGTCGCACCGAACTACCATCAGCCTTTCGTCGAATTCCCTGCATCGGCATCCTGGCCATTATGCGGAGGCATCCCCGAATGTAGTCTGTCAGTATGAGGAAACAAATAAATAGTACATAGTATCGGTAAAATTTTGTTTGTACTACAAATATTACTGACTCACCATCTTCCACCGTCTGGAACTTGTGGGTCGAGAAGAGCAGACACTTCGCCAGCACTGCCATCATGTCTGGCCCATTTTCGCTTTCAGGATGCATGCGTAGGAACGCCTGGTGAATCTAGATGAATGTAATGTTAAGGTGGAATTTACTTTGATGCATATTCGGATTGCAGGATGCACAAATTTGTCGGATAGTAGGGGGGGGGGGGGGTACTGTATATATGTTTGAGTTATCGCAACTATAGTATGTTCCAGTAATGACCTATGGAAATCCGGCATAAACGCGAACCATGAGTTGACCTTAACAAAAAAGGGCAAAACTTTGGGTTGATAAGAACCATTGCCAACCAAAGTACGCCCACGCAAACCAACAACATCATCGGATAGGGGCAACTATCACCTTTCCGAAAGTGGTATTGGTTTGCGTGGGCGTGGTTCGCGTGTAAAGGGCCTTAGAAAGTTTGTTTACAAATGCTTTTGTGCCGTTATAAAATGTTATGCCTGATATCCACCCTAACTAAAAGGCGTAAGGGCGTAAGGTTACAAAAAATAACATACTAGCAATCCGTGGAAGGACCGAAAATGCGGAAAGATATCCAAGATTTCAGCAGCCGTTTTTTTCTTCTTAATCAACTGCTTAAGCAGCGGAAAGCAGACGGCCATTCCCTCTCGGATTTCCCGCATATTGGTTCTGGACGCCTCCATTTCGCTCAGCTGCGCCACTTTATCCTGCAGCTCATCTGGGACTGACTCTTCTGATTCTGGCTGCGGTTTGGGCCGCGTGTACGGACGCATCGCCGACGGCAGCATTTTTAGGATGTTTCGTATGCGATGGTAGATCAGCCCACTATGTGGCCCCTTTTCTTTACCTCCGTGGCACCAGAAGAACAATGACTAAAGATGGTAAGATTTTATTTTTTGTTAGAGATAACAGGAAATGTTCTTCACAAATTTAAACATACCTCTGTGGGATCTGCTTCGTTCGTACGAGTGTTGGCCAGCTGCGGAAACAGCCTACAAATCTGTTGAGCCAGGCTCAACATTTCATTTGTTGTCGGATAGCTGTAGTAAAAATAAAAATAATCAGTACAAAATGTTCGACAGATTACAGATTTGACGAGGGACACACAATAACCTTTAATTCCGACGCAGGCAAGAATGAAATTAACACAATTAATTACGTTAATTATACCCTGCTATTTTTCAAGTGCATTAATTACAGTCGTAACACAGACAAACAGACATAACACTCACAAGTTGTTCATCGAACAAGCATTTAACGATCAATTTAAAAGTATCTCAGTTGGTAGTACTGCCACCTGTGGCGCGCATAGTCAATTCCCTTGCGTTTGACGTTTACACACTACCACCATCTGTTCAGCGTACTACCATAGAGGTAACTCTAAGACTAGAAGGTCCCGAAATAACGTGCTCAACCTTTTGGCTCAGCTCTGGTACTCTCTTCGGTCCCAAGCTAATCGATTCACCCCTCGAAACATAGAAAAATCGACTAACCCCTTATTTTATCTGTCAAACTTTCATAGCAAATCAAAACAAACATTGTGTAGTAGTAGAATTTCGACTAGAATGGGGTACGGTAATCGTTTGCTTTGGACCAATAGGCTAGTCAAGTAGTGAGTCAATTTAAAATCGTTAGTTTCGTATTGATTGTTGGTACTACCCACCACAGTGTACTCAACAGATGGCGGTAATGTTTTAGCGACGATGTTTTACAATGAGAAATATTCAATGTGTTATGTCTGTTTGTCTGTGGTCGTAATTTCATAATTAAAGTCTTAACTACATTTTCAGTACCGTCAATTACATTTAAAGTACTATTAATTAGTTAAGTACTGCAAAATAATTCCCATTACTTTCATAACAATTTTAAAATGCTTTGATTACAATAAGTAGCTTGCATTTTAAGTTCGACGTAGCGGTCCTGGGTATTGCATGCGCCTCGAGGTTCGACTTACTCGCTTCCTTCGCAGATTCTTTTTTCCAGCTGGCTGCAGGCAACTCGCGTGATCCAGCAGAGTCCCTTATGGTCAGGAATTTGTCCTTTATCCAAGACTGGATAAAGGACCTTAATGCGGAATTTGGGGTCACTTTCAAAAGTTGACCTTGTGATTCCTTGGCTTGCCATGGTACAAGACGTTGATGGTTTCGCCAGCATTTCTTCGATAATTGAGAGGATGACGACCCTCGGACCCTTCTCCACAATACCCATATCAATTAAGTCTTTATCCTGGAGCAGTATCAAGGCTGTGTCGTCGATTTTTTGATCTGAAATTGTCATAGAACATGCATGCCTTTATTTGCTAATTTTTGTATATATTTTTTATTTCTTTATTAGAGTGACTTTCAGCCAGTGGCTGGTTCATCACCTCGTCTTATTTAAATGG